TATAAGAAAGAATATAAAAGACTATATTAGAACTTATCCTATATATTAATAAACTAAGGTAAAAAAATATCTGCCATATAGTATACTTAGTTTATTCTTTCTTTCCTCCAAGCCATAGTAAGAAATTACTATAGACTTTATTACGGGGCTACCTCTTTCTAGGTTTCGTAGTAAAATATATAATTCTATATTTATTATTATTAATAGATATACGAAAATAGTATAATATATTCCGACTACTAAGGAAGTCTCGGCTCCTGAGCTAGCGGAGCTATTTATATATCATATTATTAAAGACTTTGGTATACCTATAGATATAACTTCTAATAAAAGATCTGTCTTTATAAGCAAGTTCTAGTTAAGTCTATACTTCTACTTAAAGATTTAATAATAGCTAAGTATAGTATTTCACCTGTAAACTAATAGATAAATGGAGAATCTGAACCAAACTCTAGAATAATACTTGAGGTACTATACTAGCTACTAGTAGAATAACTAGATAGTAAAGCTTACTCTTATAGAATTTATATATAATAACTCTATATATTTAATAATAGAAATATCCCTATTCTATACCTTATATGAATTCTATTCTAGTATTAAACTATATATTAAGGATAATATTCCAAAAAAAGAAATACTAGTAGTATAGGAAAGAGTATAAAGGATTTAAGTAGAACGGGAGGTACTAGAGAAATAATAGCAAGAAGTAGTAAATATATAGAAAAAGTACTATAATAAGAAATATATTAATAAGAAGTTCAAGATATATAATAAAGTCATACTTTATATAAAGAATATTTAATAGCTATAACCTAGTATAAAGCTAGCGAATAAATATCTCGGCCCTTTTAAAGTTCTGGAAGTTATAGGAATATATAGACAGGTATATTACTTGGAATTACTACTATTATATTAGATCTATAATATTTTCTATATTTCTCTCTTAGAACCATAGTACCTGCAAACTAGTACTATAGTAGAACCAGAGCCGGTCGAGATCGAGGGTAAAGAGGAATTCAAGGTAGAATCTATTATAGCCTATAAGGAAGACAGAAAAGGAAGGAAATATCTCGTTTATTAGAAGGGCTACTTACCGGCAAATAATATATGGGAATTACTAAGTAATCTAGAGAATATAGCTCAAGAATTACAAGAATACTTGGAAAAAAGTAATATTATAATACTATTAGCCAAACGGAGATATAAAAGATAAATGCTTTTATTAGGAAACTATTAAAAAATCATATATTTATTCTTAGAAAAACCATATAAAAATTATTAAAAACTCTAATTTCTATACCTTATAAATACCTTACTCTTATAACTACTCTCTATTATTCTTATTATTATTCTTATTAGAATTCTCTCGAGAAACAGGTAGTAAATTGGCCTATAAAGCTATTAGCCATTAGTAAGAAATGAGGAAGAAGTAAGCTTACTTAATACTAAAGAATATTAACTATACTATTAAGAGTACTTTATACTTGCGCTAAGCTAGTAAGAATTACTTAACTTATTCCTTGGATTATTAGGGGAATCCATTAGCCTCGAATAATAGCTTTAATATAAGAAGTATATATAGTTTAATATAGAAGAAAGGCAGTAATAGCCTTCTTTCTTTCGGGCAAAAAATAGGGAAAATACTTATATATATTAATGGCTTAAAGAAGGCAGTTTAACTATATTATATATACTTAAGGAACCTTAGATAGTATTAGAATAAGAAATAAAAGAAGAAATTTATAACTTATAGGATTATACTTCTTATTCTTAGAGCGGCAGTAATTATATACCGAGTAATTATTACTCTTAATATAAGTAAGGTCGGGAAACTTAGTAATATTCTTGGAATATTAAAGATAGTAAGGGCAAATTAAGGATATAGGAATATTAGCTAAACGGGTAGTAATAGGCTAATAAGTACTAAGAGAAGTATTTATCTTAATAGATAAAGAAGTAAAAAAGGGAATTAGAAAGGGACTTAAATAAAGCTTAAATAAGGCTTAAAGGAGCTTAAAGGAGCTTGAAGAAGGCTTGAAGAAGGAAGGCAAGGGATAAGGAGGAGCTGGGTACGGTATTATGGTTAAGGAAAAGGAAGGTTAGTTAGTAGGAAAAGGAAGGCCTTTTTATAATATTCTCTTCCCGAATAGTAATCGCAAATTCGGAACCGGCTCTATACCAGGAATACCTAGAAAATTCCAAAAAAGGGATTTATGAATAAACCAGAAGATCAGATTAACTTTTCCAAGCTCTTAGGCCTATAGAGTAATAATTTATTCGCAAATAGAGGCTAAGTTAGGATTTACGAACTAATTAGGAGATCGGATAAGCTTTATGTCCGATAGTATATACTATATTCGTATTACCTTTGCGAGGGGAAATCGCCAGAGGCGATTTGCGAACTAGCTAAGAAGGGTTAGTAAACTATATTCTTAACTCCATTACCTGGCGTAATGATAGGGCAATTATAGGGAGTCTTTGGAGAAAGCTAGCGGCCAGGAAAGTTTTAGGGGGACATTTGTAAAGCTATTTGCAGTTTTCCCAGGCCTCTTGGGGACAAGGGCCCAGAGGGGGGATTAATGTAATGGGCATACGTGATGGCGTATGGACAGGTGTCAGATGTCGTAGATCTAGTTTCCTATTTTGGGTATAGCTTGTAATCGGAATTATATAGATCGCATGGGATTTCCTAATTAAGTAAAGGGCTTCGCATGCCTGGCTAAGTACTAGGGAATATATAGGAAGACGCTCCTAGCTTTGGAAGGGGCATTAATTAGTCTCTTGTTGGAATCAATTCTTGGAATCAGTTACACTTGCAAGCGTTACTCCGCAGCTTACTTACCTTGACTACTTGTGCATTACCCTGCTATTACGTGCCTTATATACTGCTTGATTTGCTTAAAGCGGCAGAGCAATATATGGTTTGTAATTAAGTATAGAGAACCTTTATTAATATCTGAATTCTAGTATATCTTAACTTGAGGCTTATTATATATACCCATATATATAATTATACCGAGAAACACATATAATTCCTCTAGTAGTAAGTCTGTCTATTCTCGTACCCTTTCCTCCTTTATATATAGCCTTTATATATTCGCATATTGATTGGTATTCGCAGTAATGATCTGGAAAAGCTTGCGGGTAAAGAACAGGCTAAAGTAATCGAATGGGTGTGCTTTTGGAGGGAAGGTAGGAGGTAAAATCGCTCGTGCGTGTGACGGCGCTGGCTGGGGGCCAAAGGGGGGTGGCTATCACATGACTGGTTTCACCTAGCTAGCCGGCGTTTCAGTGGTTTTAGCTAGTATTTCCCTCCTTTTATCCCCTTTCCTTCTCTCTCTCCTTCTTCTCCTTAGCTTAGTATTCTCAATACATGGGATTTTCCTGGATCTTTGAGCCTTTGTACCATTGCCTCGATCCCGCCGTCACAGTGCGGACTGTTCAGGTTCGGGTTAAAAGGGCTCAAAAGCGACGTTCGTGATTGGTCCAAGTTTAGAAAGTATATTCGCAAGGGATTGGGTGTTTTTTGGCCCTTTGGGCTGTGGAGATGGGCTAGAAGAAGGGTCTATTGCATGCATGAGCGCGTACTAAAAGGGCATTCTTGGACGCGATTTCATCCACGCGATGTAGCTTACTAATAAATTTGTATGCAAAGGTATATAAAATTATGTCCCGCCAGCCAGGCGAGCCTCCCCTGTTTAGTGCGGGACCCCCCCCTGCCCACGCTAGTAATGTCTCACCGGACGAAGGGATACTACTCAACTACTCTAGAATATTCTAGAGTAGTTGAGTAGAGTATTGAGTAGAGTATGAGTAGTGAGAAATTTATTTGAGTAGAATATGAGTAGGGCCCACTACTCTACTCTACTCTACTCATTTCCCACACTGTCCGTAATTAATTATAATTTAATTACTGGCCGAGGATTACGAAAATTATTATCATTTCATTTCGTTTTATTTTTTGATACGCTGGCAGAGAGGGTGAGGCAACGTTTAGTTGCCAGGCGGCCTACTTCAACCTATTTTCTAGGGATATTGTCGTTGGCTCGGGGCTGCTGGAGATAGTGGCTGCTCCGTATCGGAAGGCTATATACAACGTGGGGCAGAAAGGCATGGACACCTGCCTATTTAAGTACCTTATCCACTCCGCGCTGCCACAGAGTTAGCTACAACCCACTCAGGTATAGCACAGCGTCGCATTGGCATGTGATTACGCCTCCGGAACCCCGAACCGTGCTGACATGCATATTTATATCTGTATTGAATTGCTGATGTCATACGGAATGAGACTGGCGTGGCTCGGCGTTGGTCTTTGCAGCCATGTATAAGACTATTACAAGGTAAACAAAAGGTTGTCCATTGCCCAAAGTAGTACAATCTGGGTCCGTACGTAAACGCAAAGATGGATCAGCATTCTGGACCCGCGCTGCCAGTAACTATGTGCTTCAATAGGCGCCCAACCCCCCTTTCTTTAAAACTTAATTTCGTAGGGGACTCCAACCACCCAAGTATTCAACTTTAGGTATTACGCTTAATCCAATCAATACACAATTCAAAAGGGAACATGAGGCAAGAATCGAGGAAAAGATCATTACGCAACCATCTTTCCAGTTCTATCGAACCAACGTACAACCCCTGCGTGGGCACTTGACCGGGAAAGCGTATGGATCTTCTTTGCATGTGCTCTCCTGCGCCTTACAGACACATCAAGAGTACTTTGGAGTTAAATGTTTATCCCTCCCATAGCGGTAGTTTTTTGACACCGCCTATCACATCATTGCATTCACTTTCTGGCCATCTTGGCATCCTATATAGGATAAGAAGCAGTAAGATCGGGTCTGTAGTTCCCTAGACTCCTGTCGAAGGCGCGTAGGGTCAGGTTTGAGTTATATATTCTACCACGAACCAATCCTTGTTGTGTGAATTCAAGGTGTCCTTTTTCCGGTTCTCTTTGTGCGTAGGCTTTCAAGTATCACTTTCCATAAACATCCAGCGGGATGTTGGATTCGAAGTCCCCCCATACCGGTGCCATTGCATTCGTAACAGTAGCAGAGCTCGGACTCTGTGTTCTCATCAAGGATCAGGTACTGCAGACTCGGCTTTCCCTGCTTGGTGCTACAATTCTGGTATCAAATGTGGCTCTTTGGGCTTTCTGGGTCGTGATTGTTTACCCCTACTTCGGTTCACCCCTCCGACATTTGCCTCGACCGAAGGTATACCTACATGTCTCTGTGTTTCGAACCAACACTGAAGATACTGAATTGAACTTAGGGTGAATGGCCATTTATCGGCCAGGGCATTGCGCCCCATCGTAAGCCCTTGGGAGACCTCTATCTTAAGTGGATGACCGAGGTGCCCAACGATGGATTGATCACATATCGCAGTATCTTCAACGGTGATCGTCTGTTGATCACCAGTCCCCAGGCTATTGCGGAGGTCCTCGTTCACAATTCCTACTGCTATGAGAAGCCAGCTGAGGAGCGTGCCATCATTGGTCGCTTCTTAGGCGATGGCCTCACTATCGTCGAGGGTGACGTACATCGTGCTCAGCGAAAGCTGATGACGCCAGTTTATACCATCAAGAACATCAAAGAACTCTATCCCGTCTTCTGGAGCAAGGCACACCAGCTGGTCGACAAAGTGGCAACGCAGATCAAAAAGGAGGATTTCCCTCCTGAAGCTGCTTCAAAGGACCACGGACCAAGCACCGTTCAGGAAGTTACATACTGGGCCAACAAGACCACTCTCGATATAATCGGGGTTGCAGGGCTGGGTAAAGACTTTGGGAACCTCGAAGATATGAAAAATGACCTATTCGAAGTGTATCAAGAGGTCTTCCATTACACAACTGCAAAGGACGTTTTCATGGCTGTCAACCGCACATTGCCCACAAAGTTTGTGCAATCGTTGCCCTGGGGCATCAACGAACGTATTGACGCCACGACTGTTTTGCTTCGACAGGTTTGTCAGACATTGATTGATGAGAAGCTCTGTGACTTCGAGGAGAACGAGGGTAAAGAGGGCAAGAGCAACGACATTATGTCTCTTCTGATCAGAGCGAGTGGCTGGGGTTCCCGACAGCTCGTTGAACAGCTTCTCACCTTCGTCGCAGCAGGGTATGTCCAAAACTCCCTACCATCATAACTCACCTCTCTGACATGCCTGCGCACTTAGCCACGAAACTTCGGCTTCGTCCTTCATATGGTCATGCTACCTACTCTCAGAGAATCCGCACGCTCAACTAAAACTATACAATGAGCTGACCACCGCCTTAGCCACCGTTGGCACATCCCCGAGCGCCGCAGACCTAGCTTCTCTTCTTGAATCCCTTCCCTACCTCAACGCCGTGTGCAATGAAACACTCCGCTTCTTCCCACCCGTGCCCATTATCCGTCGCACATGCAACACGGCAACCACAATCCTCGGTGTGCATATCTCTTCCGGGACCCGTATAATCCTCAGCCCGTGGGCTACCAACCGCAACCCGGCACTGTGGGGAGCGGACGCAGGTGTGTTCCGGCCAGAGCGTTGGATCAACACGGACACGGGCAAGGCAAACAACCATGGCGGAATGCAGAGCAACTACGCCAACCTTACATTCTCGCACGGACCGCGCAGCTGCATCGGACAAAATTTTGCCAAGGCGGAGATGCGCAGTCTGGTTGCCGTGTGGTGTTCGCGGTTTGGGTTCGAGAGGGCGAGTCCCGAAACTATTGTCCCGGTCGGCATCGTGAGCGTGAGGCCAAGGGCCGGGCTGAATCTTCGAATCTGGGAAAGAGCCACGGAATAAATGCCAGCTAAAACAGAGCAACAAATAATAGGATTAATACTACTTAGAGTTTGAGATAAACGATAGATATTAAACTACTTATCTAGACTTGAATATAATATTATATAAATAAAATAAAATAAAGTAATTCTTATTACTTATATTTTAATTATTACTTAAATTAAAAAGTTTATAAGTTATAAGTTATAATATATAATATATAAAATAGTTTTAAGTATTTATATATATAAACTAGGTAATTTCTAGTAATGAATTCAAGATCCAAGAAATTATTTATAACTTAGTACTTATATCTAGCCCTTATATCTTTCTAATTAATATATTCTTTAAAATTTAAGTATTTGAATCTCTTAGTATTATTTCTTTTAAAAAGCTATATAGTTTAAATATTCTTAATAAAATAAATAAATAATAGCTCTTATTTAAAAATAAGTTAAGTAATAATTTTATATTTAATATATATAGGGTTATATATAATTAAAGAATATATAATAAATCTCGAATATTGCAAATATTAATTAGGAAAATTAATAGCTCTTTAATATTATAAGTATTAGGCTTATAAATTACTAATTATATATATATTATTAAGGCTTCTTATTTAAAGAAAGCTTCCCTAAACTTTATAAAAGAAATAGAGATTAGTTTTATACTAAATTTAATACTATAGTTTTATAATTTACTAATCTATTCTATTATTATATTACTTATTAATAAATATCTTATAAGCTAATTTTTCTATTTTTAAAGGAAATAGTTTAATAAATAATTATATTTCGAAATCTGCGAAATATATAACTCCTTATTAAAGCTATTCCTATAAAGGAAATTAACTAAATTAATTGCGATATAAATAATAATAAAGGTTTATCTAATACTTTTAATAGAGTTCCTTAAGAACTTCTATAAACAAGTAATAATAACGAAAATAATCCCGGTAATAATTAAGATATTGAGATTAATACCCAAGTTATTATTACTTAAGTTATAAAATAGGATTTATATACTAAAGTTAAAGCGCTTTAATAAAAGTAAGAATTAGTAAATATAATTAATTAATATATTTTATAATTAAAGTAGTATAAAAATATCTTTCGGGATATTTTATAGTTTATATTACGGGTACGGCATTCAGGGCTTAGAAAGCAAGGTAGAAGGTCCCTTACTAAAACGATTCAAAGCTAAGGAAGGGGAAACTAGAATACAGGAGGCTGCGAGGGAGTATATGCACCCTATAGTACGCTAGTCCCGAAGGGGCTTAGCCTTCTAAATATCTCTAGTACATTCCAAGCATACTTCCCTAGCGAGGCGGCCGTGTCACGTGCGTCTAGGAGGCATCTGGCATCTGGCCAGGCATCTGGGAATCGTAATAATAAGAATACTTAAAAAAGAATAATATTATAATACTATTAGCTAAATAGAAATATAAAAAATAAATACTTTTATTAGAAAATTATTAAAAAAAATCATATATTTATTCTTAAAAAAAACTATATAAAAACTATTAAAAACTTTAATTTCTATATTTTATAAATATCTTATTTTTATAAATATTCCTTTTAAGAAATAATAAGCAAATTAGCCTAGAAAACTATTAGTAATTAATAAAAAAATAAAAAGGAAATAAGCTTATTTAATATTATTTAATATTAATTATATTTTTAAAAGTATTTTATATTTATATTAAACTAATAAGAATTACTTAACTTATATCTTGAATTATTAAAGAAATTTATTAGCCTCAAATAATAGCTTTAATATAAGAAATATATAAAGCTTAATATATAAAAAAAGAGGAAATAGCCTTTTCCTATTTAGATAAAGAATAAGGAAAATACTTAGCTATATTTATAGCTTAAAAGAATAGTTTAATTATATTATATATATTTAAAAAGCCTTATATAATATTAGAATAAGAAATAAGAAAATAAATTTATAATTTATAGAATCATATTTTTTATTTTTAAAGTAATAATAATTATATATTAAATAGTTATTACTTTTAATATAAATAAAATCAGGAATCTTAATAATATTTTTAAAATATTAAAAATAATAAGAATAAATTAAGGCTATAGAAATATTAGCCAAATAATTAGTAATAGGCTAATAAGTATTAAGAAAAGAATTTATATTAATAAATAAAGAAATAAAAAAGGATATTAAAAAAGGCTTAAAGGAAATTTAAAGAAGTTTAAAGAGGGCTTAAAGAAGGCTTAAAAGAAAAAGGTAAGATATAAGAAAAGACTAGATATAGTATTATAATCTAGAGAAAAAAGGTTAATTAATAAAAAAAAGGCCTTTTTATAATATCTTTTCTTTAAATAATAATTACGAATTCGGAATTAGCTATATATTAAAAAAGCCCAAAAAATTCCAAAAAAGGATTTATAAATAAACCAGAAAATTAAATTAAATTTTTTAAGCTTTTAAACCTATAAAATAATAATTTATTTGAGAATAAAAACTAAAATAAAATTTACGAATTAATAATATATATTATATTTATATTACTTTTATAAAAAGAAATTACTAAAAGCAATTTATAAATTAATTAGGTAAAGTTAATAAACTATATTTTTAGATTTATTACCTAATATAATAATAGAATAAATATAAAAAGTCTTTAGAGAAAGATATAAATCAAGAAAGTTTTAAGAGGTATTCTTAAAGCTATTTATAGTTTTCTAAGGCCTTTTAAAAATAAGGGCCTAGAAAGGAAATTAATATAATATATATATATATAATAATATATAAATAAATATAAGATATTATAAATCTAGGTTTCTATTTTAAATAAAGCTTATATAAGAATTATATAGAATTATATTTCCTAATTAAATAAAGGGCTTTATATATTTGGCTAAGTATTAAAGAATATATAAAGAAATATTTCTAGCTTTAGAAAGTAGTATTAGTTAGTCTTTTATTAAAATTAATTCTTGGAAATTAGTTATACTTATAAGTATTATTCTAAAGCTTATTTATTTTAATTATTTATATATTACTTTATTATTATATATCTTATAATATAGCTTGTAATTATTTAGATATAAGGCTTCTTTAAAATCCACTTTTTTTTTAGCTTCAAATTATTAAAATAAAGATTATTTAATTATATTTTTTAGACTCGAGATCTTATATTTATAATAAAGAAGCTAATTAAAAAAAACTTTGCTTTTATTTTTTCTAAATTTTTAATATTTTATATATTAACTTTAATATTAATTAATTTATTAAATAATTAAATAATTAAATATTCTAAAACTAATTATTTCTTATTATTTCGAGTATTAATACTAATTAAGAATCTAATAAATAAATATTTAAAACTTAATTACTTAATTCCAATTCTTTAAATCCTATTTCTTTTATATTACTTTTAATTATATAAGATATTAGACTAAAAATTCATTATAATTTCAAATTTAATTAGCTTCTATATTTATAACTAAAGTCTTCTTTATAAAAGCTAATTCACTAAAGTTATTAAAGCTATAATAAAAGAAAGGTTTTTATTTTTATAAAAGAATAAGATTTAAATACTAATTAATTATTTAATATAAAGTCTAATAAGTAATTCGGGAAAATTAGTAAAAAAGAACATTAATTTTAATAAAACCTTTATTATTATTAAAAAACTAATAAGCTATAAGTTTATTTTTATTATTATAATTATTTTTAACTAGGAAATTAATTAAATAAATATTAAAATCGCGTTTTTATTTAAAAAAGAAATAAAAGATATAATTTATATAAATAAATTAATTAAGGTTTATAAACTTAATTATATATTTTATAATTTAAAACAAGTCTTTTAAATATAATATAATATATTATTAGAATTTCTTTAATAGCTTAATTTTTGATTTTTAAATACTAATATTAATATCTTTTATAAAAAAGATATTATTATTATTTATATATATAACTTATTAATTATTAAAAGAAATTATAAGGAAATTAATATATTTAAATAAGCCTTTAATAAGCAATTTCAAATAAGTAATATTAGAATTATTAACTTTTATTTTAATATAATAATTATATAAAATTACTCGAATTATATCTTTTATTTTAAATAATAATTCTATATTATAAAGATATTTCTAAACTTTAATATAAAGAATTATAAATTAATTATAACTTTAATAAATAAAAATAATCTTATTTTTATATTAAAGAATTACTTAACTTCTTTATTTAAAATTAATAAATATTAAAAACTAATTAGCTTTCTTATATATATTTTAATATTACTTTTATAATATTTATAATATTTATAATATTTATAATATTTATAATATTTATAATATTTATAATATTTATAATATTTATAATATTTATAATATTTATAATATTTATAATATTTATAATATTTATAATATTTATAACTTTATAATATTTATAATATTTATAATATTTATAATATTTATAATATTTATAATATTTATAATATTTATAATATTTATAATATTTATAATATTTATAATATTTATAATATTTATAATTAATTATAAATTCAATAACTAAATATATTATTATAATAAAGAAAATCTTATAATATTTATAAAATATACTTATATATTAATTAGTTTTTAAGTAAATCAAATACTATTACTCTTTTTTCTTATAAGTTTAAGATTATAGTTCAAATATAAGTAATAAAAAAGATAATTTAGTTAAACTAGTTTTTAGTTTAAGTTTTTTAAAAGAAATAAATTATTATAATTATATATTATAATAATTAAAAAATAATTACTTTTATAAAAAATAATTAGTTTTATATTCGAATAAAGAATATTAATATTCGAAAATATATATATATATATAAGAAGCTATTATAATAAAATAAATAAAGCTAAAATATATTTTTATTAATTTTTAATTAGTAAATAAATTTAGAAAACTATTTATAAAAAATAAATTTAAGTTCTTTTAAAATATAATTAATATTAATAAAGAGAATTAAGAAGAAATATAATATATAATAAGAATTC